CGATTGCTGCACCTGGATCCTCGGCGTCGCGTCCACTTGGGGAAGAATGTGCACTTGGAGCTGGGTGGTCGGTGGCGCCGGTTGCACGGGCTGCTGATTCGCCGTCTGCCCGTTGTTGTTGCTCGCCTCGACCGGGCCGAGGCAGGAGGCCAAGTGGGCCATCAAACGTCTCTTCACGGAGGCGTCCAGACCGGGAAACCTGCCAACCTCGCCGGCGCATTCCGTGAAACCGGCGCGGAATTTGTTCAACACGTTTGGATCGGTCGCCGCTGCCAGGGCAACCTGTTGACGCTGGAGCGTTTCCAGGTGTTTCACCGTCATCTCCAGAATGTCCGCCTTCTCCAGCTTCGAGTGCCGCGCTGGCTGTAATCGCAAAGATAACGGGCCGGTTACGTAAGAGTTGCGAAGAGTTGGCACAAGTTTCGGGAGTAAAAAATTTCGAGAAGAGGAAAGGAATAACGATCTATTGAATTTGTACGAGTTCGCTTTGTCGGTTCAATCTCGTTCGTTTGAAATTTGCGATTCGTTTCGAAAAGGGGGAGAAATTGAAGATCGGATTACCGATCGAGAATCGATCGGAAATTTGCAAAAAATTACGCGTTACGTTGAAAATCGTTGTTACTTACGTCTTTTTTCATGGCATCTAGTATGAGGGTCTTCAGATCGTTTAGGCAGTTGTTAATGCGGGCCCGTCTGCGCTTTTCCATAATCGGTTTATTACTCTGTAACAGAAACACAGAACCGCTACGTCAGACACAAATATTTCAAGCTAGTTCCGATTTCTAATGTTAAAACGCGGGGTTTGGGCAACGTTGCAAAATTCGTCCGAATACTTTGTTGCCATTTCTTCGGCGTGAACAAGGACGGACAATAGAACATCGACGAGGCCAATCGAGTGTAATATAATTCGTCGACAATTCTATTTCTCGAAACTTTTTGAACTCTTTCAAATCAATTCTCGATTCTCTACTACATATATATATATATGTATCTATATATTTTCTGATCTTCGTCAAAACGACTCCGATCAGACGATCTCGAAAAATGCTCGAGCTCAACGCGACTTGAATCGCGCTTTCGACCCCATTCTTTTCAAGCGGCGAAGCAAATCAAACAAATTCCTCGGTAAATTCGTTCAAAGACACTAACCCGTCGATTCTCCCCAGATCTTCTCGTGGTCGTGGTCGTGGTGGTGGTTTGGGCAGGGGGTTGTCCAGCCTCCTGGGGCACGTGTTGCGCCGGCGGCGTAGCACCGACGGTGACACCGCCTGTCGGCATCGTGGCACCCACCCCGGTCACCATCGTACAACAACAAGTTTCTCTTGTTATCACAAAAAAACGAGATCAACGAGAATTCGACAAACTGTTCGCCACAATTTGCCGTTGTTTCCTGCTACACTGCACTGGTAATCCAAAAGAGTAGCGTTATTACGCTGTGTTTATTCACTGCACGCCTGGCCAGGCTGGCAATCGCGCTTGTGATCCGCCAAGCCGGACGACGAACGATGAAATGTTTCGGTTAAGGGTTGTTTTCTACTCTCTCTCTCGAGAGAGAGAGAGAACACGCGAGAGAACGTACCGCGGTAAGGGAACGTACTGTGTAGTATCCGTATACTACTGCTTGCTCGCTCGACTGAGTCTCTCTGTCTCTTTTCCTCTCTGTTCTTCGCCTCACTGAACTCCGACCACTCGGAACGGGCGTCAGAGCACGACTGACCGAGCGAACGAACGACGAACGTCTTCTGTCGTCTCGTCGAAGCGTGCCACCCGATGGAATGCCCGGCGGAGGCGCTGCCACCT